CTTAAATAAGCGGAGTTATCGCATAAATGGTTCTCTAGGGCTTTATTCTTATTTACTTGCTATAGCTATAATGTTGTTTCGGTTGTTTTTTTTTAATATGCAAGGCTAATAATTTTAAGTTGTTTCAAGTTTCTGGCATGTGTAGTTAAACTTTTTGTCCAAAATTTCTTATTTAAGACGCGACTTAGATAAGTTGGGCCAGTGATGAATTGGGCCAATGATAATAAAATGGTGGTGAATCCCAAAGTTGAGCAAGTGATGAATTGGGCCAATGATAATAAAATGGTGGTGAATCCCAAAAAAACTAAGGACATGTGGATCAGTTTTTCCCAATCCTCTCCTGAACCCCCACCTATACAAACGGATGGAATTGAAATAGAAAGAGTAAACTCCTTCAAACTTCTCGGTGTATGGGTGCAAAATGATTTAAAGTGGAATACCCATGTTTGTAAAATAACAAAAAGAGCAAATAAGCTATTATTCCTTCTCAGAGAGTGTAGGAAATCCTTCCTACCACCCGAGATTGGTTTATTAACATATACGTCGAAGATCCGGCCAATACTTGAATACGCCTCTCCAGTTTGGGGTGGAATCCCTAAATATCTTGAAGTAGAAATTGAACGTGTTCAACAAAGAAGCTTGAGAATCCTAGGACTGGAGAAAGATACCCTCCCTACACTAAAAGAAAGAAGGGACAAGGCAACATGCAACGAGCTGAAAAGGATCGTGGAAGTCCCAAACAACCCATGTAATCGTTTCCTATCTGGTAATAAGAATCACACTTACGAACTGAGAAGGACCAGAGACAGCACTCCAAGACAGCTCTCAAAAACACACAGGCATAGTACGTCTTTTATTCCAAGGGCGTGTAGATTAACCAACTCATGAAATTAGATCATTGTACATATGTATATAAAACTTTTTAAATTTTCTAAGTTTTACATTCTCATAGGTTATATATGTATTTTAGTATAATATTTTTAACTTGTAAATCCATTGTATTTCTATATGCCAAAGATGGATATCTAATAATAAAATTGAAAATTGAGAACAGCTAAAAGGCCTGTTCTTATGTAAGACGCGTCTTATCCAAGACGCGTCTTACATAAGAATTTTGTACCTTTTATACGACAAACTCGCGTCTTATTTAAGTCGCGTCTTATGTAAGTCGCGTCTTATTTTGTTCCGTATAAATGGCCCTATTGTTTGGAACGAATTAAACTGAATTAAAAAATTGAGCATCTAAAACTGGGAATCGAGAAACATGAAGCTACGTCGTTAATGAACAATCTTAAGAAATTAGCGGCTCACCTCAAGCAAACTCTACTATTGAAACGAACTGTTCTTCCAATCTTCCATATCTCGAACGTCCACCAAGAAGAAATGATGTCTCCCTTCTGACTTCGGCAGTTTGAAAGCCTTCCGAAAGTTTGAAAGTAGCAGTCTGGAAGTGGGAATGTGCCGAGTCGTCGAAATAGCCTGAAATAATTATTAAGGGCTATAAAGGTTATTATTAAGGTCGAATAAGTTGTTCTCTTGTTCTATTTTGCTGCCTTTTGGGGCCGATTTTTTAAAGTTAGCTTTAATTCTGATGCACGTAATCACGTTACTTGGTAAAGTAATCACGAAATCCGCCGCTTAAAGGCCCACACAGACCGGACGCGATTCGGCAACGCGACGCGAATTTTCATTTTTCAAAAACAAATAAAACCGTCAGCGGATAAAAATTCTACAACATATGCTATACAGAAGCCCAGATGCGACAGCATAAAATTACTTTTGTATTTTGTACTTTTGTGTTTTATATTTTGTATTTTTGTGTTTTATATTTTGTATTTTTGTGTTTTATATTTTGTATTTTTGTGTTTTATATTTTGTATTTTTGTGTTTTATTTTTTGTATTTTTGTGTTTTATATTTTGTATTTTTGTGTTTTATATTTTGTATTTTTGTGTTTTATATTTTGTATTTTTGTGTTTTATATTTTGTATTTTTGTGTTTTATATTTTGTATTTTTGTGTTTTATATTTTGTATTTTTGTGTTTTATATTTTGTATTTTTGTGTTTTATATTTTGTATTTTTGTGTTTTATATTTTGTATTTTTGTGTTTTATATTTTGTATTACTCCCGTAATAAGGCTCGGTTCAGACTGCGACATTTTCAAGTGCTTCATTTCTTACGGCACAACCGCACAAGTTCGGCAACTGATTTAGAGTTTAGACGCCGCTCGATCTGTCGTACTTATAAATCGTTGTATTACGGGTTCGGCGCATGAGAAAGTTCGCCATCTAAACCGAGTCTAATGCTGTCTGCATGGCGAATTCGGTATGCGTATCTCCGATATTGATATGCGCGCGATAATGCTCTTTATTTAAACAAGCGTTCAGTATGTAACACGCATTTCGCGCAGTAAAATACTTCATCGGTTTGACATATGCATTGTTGTATAAAAGTAAAAAGCTGAGCTGAAACATAATATAAACTAAGTAAAAATATAAAAGTGAAAATATAAAAGTGAAAATATAAAAGTAAAAACATAAAAGTGAAAATATAAAAGTTAAAAGTGAAAATATAAAAGTGAAAATATAAAAGTGAAAATATAAAAGTTAAAGTTGGAGATGAGCGTCTAAGCAACCAAGCAGGTTGTCTGGAAAACGCGTGCACGTACACGCGTACACGTACACGCGTACATGAAAAACGCGTACATGGAAAACGCGTACATGGAAAACGCGTACATGGAAAACGCGTACATGGAAATCGCGTACATGGAAAATGCGTACATGGAAAACGCGTACATGGAAAACGCGTACATGGAAAACGCGTACATGGAAAACGCGTACATGGAAAACGCGTACA